ACGCACAAGTCGAAATTCTCCGTTAGAAATAAAAGTAAATAAATAAAATTACCGCAGAAACACGATCATGTGATAACTCCGGTTGACAAGTACTACGCAGTATGCAGATTCCGCTGTATTTTAAGCTAACGTTGATGACTTCAAGGTTTTTGAACGATTACGGCCAAGTAAATCCAAACTGAGAAAATCTGTCTCCTCTATTTTACATAATCAAATTTGTTCTTTGTTTATGAAATTACCGCTTTCTCGACACAACACCATCAAAACAACAACAGCATCGGTACGATCTACGCGATTATTTAAGTTTCTGTCACCGACGCCATTATTAATATTTAATTCTGGATAGATCCTTTTTTATTTAAATTTTGTTATATATTTAATGCAAATTTTTAGTAACTGTGTGCAATTGAAAATACTTCATACTGTTCGAGTATATTTTTCCTAGATAATTCGAATATCCTACAAATATTTTCTACAATATGTGGGCATATTTGCAACATGAAGAAATATAGGAATAAACCTAGATTTTTTAATTGTTAATACATAAAATTACTAGTCTTATAACCTCTGAATAAAATTTATTAATATTTTAGAAAAATTCTAACAATCACACGGGTATTAACACGAACATTAACCATTAATTTTCTCTTAAACAGATTTAGATTTCACATCTATGTGGGTATAGAATTGTAAATTTTTGCGTGAACTATTAAAACCATGTTAAACGATTTAAAAAATATAAACAAAACGCATATTGTAAAAAAAACTGGTACAAAATAATAATGATAATTATAAAAATAATGGTCATCGTGGCCTAAAAAATTCAAGAATTGCATCGAAGGATTGCATCGAAGGATAATACGCTTAAAATACAAAACCCTCAGCTTATTATACGAGTGAAGAAGTCTTAAAAATAAACAATTTTCGAGCAACGAAGGTTCTGAAATATTAAACTTTAAAAACATAAAATTCTCATTTATTAAATCATTAATTTCTTGTATAAATTTTATATAAAACAGTTATAACCAAAGAACCGAAAGAGTAGTTATCACGTAATAGATATATATTTCGTTTAATCTACGATTAATGAAAAATTAATTGCAAGATTCAAATAATCGTAATTTTCCATTAACTATCGGACGTTTTCAATTTTAAAATAGGCTATTTAATTTCTCATTAGATTTAATTGAAATTAATAATGTAAAGTCAACAAAAGATGAATATTTAAATTTAATACCTTACGTTTTTGATTAAATTTATTTATTACAGTTGTATATAATAATTTTTTAACAGGCCTATTTTAAATTATATAATTTTTACTTTTAAATATTATAATATTTTTTAAAAATCATCATCACAATGCAATTTTTCTTCAAATTTTGTAATACTTAACACGAAAGGACTTTATGGCCTGAATGTCATTCTTACATATAAATCGTGAGCATTTACGTAACTAAATACACGTATAATTTATAATGTTTCATTTGTAAATCCCATTGTAAATTATATATATAGGGATATGATTTCTTTCAAAAAAAGGGCCTTTAATTAAATTCAACTATTAACTATCAGAATATACACAGATCAATACAGTTGAGTAATGAAATTAATTTTTATAGAACAGGTAAACCGCAAATTGCATTACTACAAATAAATTCATAGATTTTGAAAAATTTAATTTACCAATCTGATCATTTTAATTTATTTAACTTCTTCAATAATCAAAGAATTAACATTATTTCTTTTTATTTTAGAAGAAATTTTAATAGTAAAACAATTGTAATTTCCAAAAGTCAACCCCCTAATTTCCCCCAATAAGAAAAATTAACTTATAAATATGCATTAAGAAAAAATTCTACAACAGGAGCCTTTGACGTTTCTTATTGGTTAAAATAGTTTAATCTTACAAGATTTAATCAATAATTTACATCAGCATTCTACAGGTAAGAGAGATTTTACACGATTCTGACCCTCCAAGGTAGGTCAAGAAATGATCATCTATTAACACGGGAAATCTGTTTTACCTTTTTACCCCTCTTCTTTTCTTTATAACCACTTTACGTTACTCTTTTAAAAATATAATTTATAGGTCTAATCCTTCTTAAATGAGATTATAAAATACAGCCCCATTCAGTAAAATTTCTCAAGCAGGGAGCAAAAGAATCCGTTTAAAAACTCGTTTAATTTCTATTAAAATCGTTTTAAAAGAGAATTAGTTTTTGAATGTGTTTTCGCATTTCCCTTAATATTTCATTAGGTAAGAATAAAAGCTTTTAATACTATTTTAAGTGAAGTATTCGTAAAAATATAACTGATTTATACTGAGATTTACGTTAAAAAGTTATAATAATGTTTTAGAGTGATGCATATTCCAAGAAGAAAAGCTTTCACAACGATTGATTCATACGAATTAATTAATCATAATAATACAACTTTTGATGTATATATGAATAGATATAACGCAGTAAAATCTTCTACGGTTTAAAATAGGTTCTATATGCAGAAATAATTTTGCTAGAATTCTTAAACTAAACTATTTAAACATAGTACAAGTATTACTTTTCCATCTCTAAGGTCATACTTTCCCAATAAATATTACTAATAGTTACTATCCGCTGAAAGTGAATACGATACTTTGTTTCCTAATAAAAATCGGCAGAGATCGAACGAGCAAAGTCGAAAAGATCACGAACGGCGTGATCGAAATTTAGAAACTGTATAGAAAAAATACGGGGGCTTATTTATTGGCATCTTCAATTTTGTGGGTATCGCAGTGATAAACGCCCGTTTCAGAAACCAACCCACAATGTTTTATTGTACAGTACGGTGATATTGCAGAATCAGTAAAGAAAGAAAGGGGGGGAAATAAGACTTTGGACCCCGAGATGTGTTACTCGAATATGAATAACGGCCCGAGGGCAAGCAGTGATGCAAAGACGTCCTGTATTTATTCCTTGACGATTAGTGAACCCTGACGAGTGTCGAAGTGAGCGACCCGTTTGCCAGGGCGCATGCGCAATCTATAGTGCGACAAACCGACGAATTTGAAGCAGTTCGTGACGTAACTCACTTCGGTATGGGGCAACGTTCTTTGTAACCGCCAATGTCTATGGCTTATCGTTGTTCACTGTTAACACCCCGAACCGAAATATGCAGAAGGTGACCGACCAGAAGCTAAATATTTTTAAATATCGAACGCCAGAACGTGTATTAAAAACGGAAAATAAAACTGGAGAGATAAAAATCAGGCATTCTATTTTTACAGGATCATACGCGTATCGAATTCCCTGGAAACGAAATAAATACGTTCTCCCCTCCAACTTTTGAAAATATGCCGACGATAATAAAATAAATTTGCTCGTTTACAACATTAAAATCGTAGAATTTTTTTCGAAACTTTTGCCTTGTGGGAGCTACTCTACCGAGTCAGCTCCCTTCCACTCCGATACCGAGAAACATAATGGTCGAAAAAACGTGGAAGGAAAAAAATTCTCTGGATTACTTACTGATACGGGATAATTCCAAAATCTAAAATTAACAGGAGGATCCCAAGACGAAATCGAATAGATATACTCCATTAGAGCACAAAAAACACACATATCCAAGGACTGTAGAAAAAAGAAACGGATAGATAAAGCCAACGTTTTGATTTGGTTTCTCCGGTTTTCGGACAGATGTCCCAAGCTCTTTCAGTGAGCCACATATACACACCCCTAAAAAGGCCCCCAGAGTATTACCGCGAGCAGCATCCCTTGAACCAATCAGGGTGGGGAGTATACGGCGTCCCTATCCCACGGCCTTGCTACTTACTGATTGCCCGAAGGGGGACCATATCATCCCCAGCAGATGCTCGAAACTACAGTATTACAGAAATAATTTAATACCAAAGTTACGAGTCGAAAAAAACCTTAAAATCGTCAAATTTCTCTCAATACTTCCGTCAACACCTTGATAAATAGAAGAAAATTTACCGAAAGCAAAATATACAAGTTAAAAAAGAAAATCGGAATTCACCCGACATTTGTCGTTCTTAACGTAGATTTATTTTTTTATCGTTAAATTCTACACAGGCCAGGCTAAAAACTTTGATCCCGTTCGTGAACAGCATCGAAATAATGGAAAGTACCAACGAAGTTTGGAACTTTTTACCATATGCCAGCCAAGTAATTCACTTGACCATCGCACGACGTTAAATTAGGCATGAAATCGTTCCGTTTGAAAAGTTCAAATGAGACTTATTTTAAATCTGCTCCTCGATGGCAAGAGGATAGAAAAAAAATCGGGAACGCGCGAAGTAAATTCCTGAATTTTCGTTATTCGACGGGAAAAAATCGATTCAATATTGTTCTCGAAGTAAATTGACGAGTGTAAGGCTGCTTCAGAGGCGTTGCTTACAACTTCCCTCCCTTCTTTTCAAAAAGGACTTTCTTTACTAGAGTTTCTCTCATGCCGTGCATAGCGGGGCATCCTTAAAACCAAAGGGGGACTAAGGGGAAAAGGAGAACGCAGATGGGAGTTTTTTGACCTACACAAATCAAATAGTTTAAACCGAACATAATGAAATTCTGCCGGATGTAATTTGTAAATTTATTTAATAAACTCCTACTAATAAGCAAAAGCATAACCATCGACGAAGTTTGGTATGCAGACTACTAATTCGCGTAACGTAACACCGTTGCAAAACTAGTAATGCCTTCTCGGAAAGGAGAGCCTCTCATATTGCATCATGGGCAAAGGACATTACAATCCGCGACATAATGACGCTTCGTTTAGTCAAGTTCATGCAGTGACTGACGTCACTGAAGTGAACGCACTAGTCAATCACCCCAACAATATTTATTGCCGCGTTGATAATTTCTGAGGCCAGAGAAACTTAGCCGCTTTTTAAAAATTTTAACAATTGCCCACTGTAGTTTATATGTATTTTATACCTTGACAACAGGCAGATTTATCAGATTACTGTCAACAAATACCGCTTCTAAGCATTGTACAGGACTTACCGTCATCATCCAGTAGTTTGCACATAACTGATATGACAGCGGATACTTCATTCTGATTATCAACCACGGAGTGAAGAGTACTGAGTATGTTACGAGCAACATCTTGTCTGAAAATAAATAAAAAAAAAGAGAGAATTAACAAAAAATCGTACAAAATCAATCCCGTCCTCTATTTTAATTTCATTTTAAGAGGTTTAAATCCTCCGCATGAGAATGCAATTACTATTTTGTTTAACTTTTTTCTTCAAATACTACACGAATTAGTTTAATTCATACTCTACTTACCGAATAAAATGAATCTAACAATTTTTAATAAATAACTTCATAGGAAAAAAAATAATCATCTCACGAGAAATTCGTATTTTTATCTCTGCCTAACAATCATTTTAGGCAGTCTTCCCCAAATCTACTTATTAATACAATACAATACAATGGAAATAACAAAAAGAGAACCGAACCGTATGCACAAAGGCACACATACATATACTACATTATATAATAATAAGCTTAAAAACAATGCCCAAACGGGAGTGAATGAATGAATAAGTTTCGATAGGAACTATATTCCTGTCGAAGAATAAATTCGATACCGTTAAGCGAATTTTCCAATAATGTGATTAACGTGGTCGCATTTTGAATCAGAAATTCGGCACATCGGTAATGACAAGCAGAACATGCCACATAACAAATGCCAGAATTAAAAAAAAAAATTGCCAGATTATAAATATTCAGTCGTCAGTCAGCTAGGAGATTGTCGGTGAGGGATGAATCATTAAAAAGTCGGAGAAAAGGTCATAGACACTTTCGTACAATGCACAATTGGGAAGGAGTAATCTCTCGCATCTTATCGCTTTATGATATCGAGAAAGAGCAGCCAATGGTAGCGGCCTTACAGTAATAATAATCTCGGGAGTTTTAATTTGCTTTGGGTAAATTTTTAATAAAGTCCACGTGTATATAAATCAACACCGTCTTATATATATTTTTCGTCATTTAATTTTTAAGATTTAAATATAAATCTGGCGCTATTAATAATCTCCTTCATTAACCGAAGCATTTAAAAGAAAAGAGAAATATATAATTTCACAAAAATTTCTTGTCCCGATTCTACGTCTTCATTAACTAGGTTAATATCGATGGATAGAAGAATTCTCAATTTATACTTATAAATATATGTGTGTTATTTTTATATTATTAATAGGATAAAGTTCGAGAGGGATATCTCTATAAGCGATAAAACTAATTGCTTATATTATTACAGAGCATTAAAAATAATGCTTGGCATATAACAGGAATATTATCCTACCACCAAAAAAAAAAATCAATTAAGTTTTCGTAATCAATTTTATAATTATTCTGCAAGATTAAAATCCGAAAATTAACTAGTGGAATATGAAAAATTTATGCTTCATACTTCACGTTGTTTTACTTCTCTCTTTCTCTTTCGTCTTATTTAATAATCTCCTTAAACTCCTCAAACAATATCATGCTAGCACATTTTCCTTTTCTTGCAAACGGGTCACGTTTTCCTTTACTGTAAACATTATGTAAAATAAGATTATGATAATTAATTCGAGCACTTTTTAAACCGCGTGACTTCATATTGAAATTCTTGAAAACCGAGAATTTATCTCCCTTTTCAAGAAATTGAGACTTTTCAATTTATCTGCTCCATTTGGTTAAGTTAGCGCTGTAAATATATATATACATACACACGCATTGTCATTCTTTCAAGAGATATTTAGATCTTTCGCCAAGAACTTAAAAATTCTTTGCTTGATCGGAATAGATAATACTATACTTTTTCTCCTTTTCAAAAGACAAAACATGTCTCGAGTACTGCACATGACAACAAGATACCTTTAGATAAAAAGTTAAATGGAATCCTTTCTCAATTGTTCTAAGAAACCTTACGAAAGTTTTTACCATGCAAAGAGAATTTCAATGTATTCTGAAGGTAAGTAATAAATTACTAACAATAGTTCGCTTATGATCTAACAAAATGCGGAAATAACAACATATCAAACAGGAAGTAATACTTAATAGCAAAAAAGCAACCTATTGCAATTGTAGAAATAAAAAATAATAATAAAACTGCATAAGGATTTTCTATAAATATCGATTTAAGGATCTGCATGTATACTTTTCTATAATGGCGATTACTGACTCTCACGATAGGCATACCTTACATTCTCGGCTAATTAGCTTCGCTGGGGAACTATTTTTATATGACCAGAAGTTTTTTTTTTAAATTCTATAAACAGACTAGTTATTTTAATGTGGTAAGATAAGACGTGGTCTCTAATAGAAAGCAAGCAATTATGAAAATAAACCAAAAATTATACAGAAATTATACAAATTATGACCGTTAAAGTGATCGTTTAGAGGCACAGCCTTCCAGCCAATCTTGAAATGCTGTCCATACGAAAGAGTTGCCACTGTTCTTATAAGGGAGAATGTCTGTAAATGGACCTTTTATCATTTAACATCCACTATAATTAGCGATTTTTATTTTATTTTTTTCTGATTCTCTAAGAAACGTTCAATGAAAACTTTCCTATATTAGTATCTATTTCACGCACGCTAAGTAACTTTCAAAACGCCTTAGCGACCAACAAGAAATCTCAAGCTTAAATATAGATCTAAATCGATCACAACTTATTTTTTCTTTAATAGTTGAGAGTCTGCAAATAAGAAAAACTATTCATACAGATCTTAATAAAATATCTGATTCCATTATAAAAAAACAGAAGAAAAAAACGTCATCGCAATACTCGCACAGCGTACAGTTGGCTATCGATTTTTTGTCGAGTTGCGTTAAACAATTAAAAAGATAACCTGTTAAAAGAGAGAGCTTAACATTACTAGAAATAAGTAAAATAAATAAATAAAACCTAATTGACTTTGTTTTATTAATATTGCCTGAAAAGAAAACCGAGAGTTTCGCCATTTCGAATTGAAATTTTGATCTTAAATATCTGATAGTTTCGAAAATCAATTTTTTTCACACTAAACTGATTTGTTCAGAAGAAAGGATAACGTCTTCATTTATAGAAGTGAATAAACTCAAGGCGTGACTCGATAGCTCTAATAATTTTGATGGTTATTTTTAATTGAATAAAAACAAACTTTCTCTAGGACGATTTTTTTAGTTAATAAAACTGCAGGGTCGAAAGCTAGGGGTCATGCCAGTAACATTACTCATAAGACACAAGTGCATTAGCGGATACGCTTTCTTCTATAGCAACATATGGTTCCCACACCTCTTGCAACACAAGAAATGCCAAGCTGGCAGAAAGAGCAATCCGAGAAAATGCCGGAGTTTCGCCCGGGATTTTCTGACGGTTTTTATTTTTCCTCTATTAATCAATGTATCGTTTTTGGATTAGCTTTTGTTACGAAACTTGCGGATGAAGACATATTGTAGACGGAATCCAGGCAGAGGATAACGAGATCACAATTAAAGTTCTAGCAGCGGGACGACCTAGTCACAAGTGTGTGAAAGGCACGATTTATTGGTTGAACGATTTTCGAAATGAATGAGAAAACGATGAAAACCATTCTGTTGCAGAAACAAAACCCGACAAGTTTAACGAACCCCGATGTAAATTACGCTTTCTCGAGAACGTTCCCAGTTTTTCTAATTACCAGCGAGGAGTGGAACGAGTACAACTTCCCTAACGAAAGTAGGAAGAAGGATAAAATTCCTCCACCAACACCGATTAATGTGAATTAAATTAATTTACACGATTAAACTGTAAGAGAACTTTACTAATTAACACAACTCCGCCAGTTTTTTCCCCTTTTAAAAAATAAAAAAAGAGGGTTTTGATGTACTAAAACTTACATTTTTTTAGTTAGCTTCGGATGATTATTTTAAAAAAAAGAAAGAACGATCGGAATTTTTATTGAAAACAAGTTTCGGTGGTAGTACTACTAATAATATCATCACAACGGTAGAAGATTCATATAGTATCTATATACACGTATCGTATATAATGAAATGGAAAATCTCTTGAAAGAGATAGGTGGCTATTAAACTCTGACCTTTCTTCCATCCTGAAGTAGAAACCCCTCAAGGATGAAAATGGAAGTGTCCAGAACGGAAGTCATGAGACAGCATGGGAGTGTTTGATGAACTGCAACTGCATTATACTCATCCTGTTTTATCTGCCACTCTTCTGCCACTTTAATATTCCGAAGTGAAGTACTAATTTTTATATCTGGTCAGAGCACGTTACGTCGGTTTGATCCGTAGTTTAATAATATCGATAAAAATCCACCTCAGCCACCGCCATTAATTTCTGGGGTTAGGAAAATATTATCCCGTGTCATCGATAGATGGAGCACCATGTTTCGATCATTAGAGTAGCATCGACTCTAGTTCACCAGCAGAAATTCCTCGATATTAACTGAAGAAAAAAAGTTTTTAACCCACGATTATCTGAACAAGAGAGCCGATATGGCATATTCCTTCTGAAGTGTTTATTCAAGCTTAATTTATCTGTTATCCTAAGATAGCATATCTAATAATTTCCTTTATTACAAATAAACAGAGATAATGAATTATTCTACTTCCGTTGTATTTTGCCATCGCAAAATTACACATACATTACTAAAAAATTTATTAAATTAACGAGAAAACCGCGATTTTTTACGGTGTGTTTTAAACACGGAATTACAAAACGAAATCGTGTAAAGTGTGCCCTTAAAAAATGAGAGAGAAACAATATACAAAAACAACATTCTCCAAAGAATTTGTTCCGCTAAAACTTTTCACTAATTAAAACTTTTCTTAATTAAAAGGAAACTTAAACTATTACTCTTCAAACTCAATATCGTTCGAATAAAGTGCGGGGAAAAAAAATACTAAATTTCTTTAAAAGTGAAATTCAAAAATTTAAGTTTTAATATCGATTTTTAATACAGTTTGCTCGATTAACAGCGATCAAAAACCGCGAATTATAGAGAAAAATTTCTAACAAAAAACTCTTTTCGGGCAATCCAAAAAATAATAAATAATAATAATAAATGTAAAACTTTGTCTTTTACCTCGGTTCTAAATACCAACAAACTATTTTGTAATTATATTTCATCCCACAGTGGTTCATTTCCAATGTGATGTTGCATCAAATTAACTCCCGTACTTCATTACTCATACATTATTTAATAAGATCCCTTTAAGTAAATTACTAAATTAAAACTTCAATTTTTAACCAAACAAATATCTCCTATATATTTCTTAAACTTGACATCTTCTGTTTAAATATTTTGACATTAACTTTTCTTCTCGATTCATTCGCATATACAAACAAAGCCGAACGAGGACATGATATTTATAAATTGAATTTTTACAACTATCAAAACTAAGATCCCAAAAGGTCCTGCCTATATTAATTTAGCGTTAGGAGAGAAATTTATTTTACAAATCTCAAATCTGTTCCTCGTCTGCGTTAATTTTTTTTCTCTTCTTTCTTCTTCTTAAAACAGTGTTTACGTCTGATATCTGATTTCTAAATGCTTGACACGTAATGATACGATTACTTATATTTAAAGATCAAGTTGGAAGCAGGGGAGGGAAAAAAATAACTCCGCAATTTTACAGGATTACAAGACGGGTATTTTATAACGCATAACGTAACACGCTAACAACATTTACTTCTCTTAAAAATTCTGTAATTAATATTTATGAAAGCGCCTAATTGAAAATTTTTAAAAACTTTTAATTCTAAGTTTTTGCCTTTTTCAGAAAAAGGATCAGGCTTGTATTTTAAAACGTAACAAAAATAATTGGAGTTTTGTTCTTTTTTCTTTACATATTATCATTGTGTTGCGTACAAAAATAAAGAAATTAAAATTTCTAGTTTCGAGATGAGAATAAACAAACAGACGGACTTAAAAGTGGAGGGATTTTTTGGGATTAAAATTGGTAGATCCGTACCGTTTATTCATTTTTCGGATTCTTCGACGTTTAATCTAAATTATTTGATTACAAATTTCTAGTTTAAATATCCAATTCTCTCGTAATGACACTCTTCTCTTTCCAAATAACTTGTACAAATTCAATTATCCGCATCTTGATAAATAACTTGGGAGATTTAATTTACAAAAATAAATCCTCCGATACGAAGAAGTTCATAATAAATATTGACACAAATTTCTACTTAAAATAATATCACTTAAAAAGGTATAAGGCCACGTTGATAGCCTGCGGTAAGGCTCAATTATCTATCTATTAATCACGAGGGGAAAAAAAGAAGAAAAAAAAATTATCATCACTTCGGCACAAAACATTTGATCTAATTTTATAAACTATAAACACCGTCGTTAATTCGACAAACTTGTTCTCTGGACTTATTTCCGAGATGATTATCTCAATTGGTTCACTGAGAGATAACCATTTATAATAATTTCCAACGCTATACATATTAAACATTCTCGAATTTGAAGTGTCTCTCGCATTTTCAACACTTCTTACCGTGTAATCTAGTTTAAAACATTTAAAAAAACACTTTCTTCGTTCTTTGTTAGGCAACTTAAATCTAATTTACCTTCGAAGATACACATCGGTAATGCCATTGATGTTTTAAGGGTCTTTTATAGACGGTTCCACGTTCGAACAACTAAAGGCGGGATTAAAAAGCTGCACTTACTATGAAGCCCAGCTGTATGTATGTGGGAGGCCAATTTAAGGTGGAAAAATCAATATCATCATCGACAGGCTTAAATAAATTAATGATGTAGAAGTTCCTGACCTTGTTCCCGAGCTGAGCTAAAAGCACAACCTTTAAAAACCTCCTATACCAATCTCTCTTTGTTTCTTTCGCTCTTTCTCTCCTTGCTCCAGCGAATTTTGTACGTCATTAGAAGCGAAATGGTATTAAAACTTTGATATTTATTTTTCTAAAACTCGGGAGTGCTGTTATCTTACAACATAGTCTATATTGTACTGCTGTCTTTTGTGATTTACAACATGCTTAGGTCGGGTCACTGTACGAAGGTTATCATTATCAATACACAGTTCAATTTATACAACGTTCTGACGTGTTAAACAAATTCTGTACATCTTAACCAGCGCAGACTTGTAACAATGCGAAACATCTTACTATTTCCCACAAAAATTTCCGTCACTTGTTATGCAAACCGGCTAAAAATATGTTCACTATGCACTTCACTAACTCTATTTTTTTTTTTTTTTTCGTTTCTCTCTCTCTCTCTCTAAACTCGCCTTTCTCGACTGGAGACACTTCATAATTTGTTAATTATACAAAAAAAATCTAAATTTGCAATTCGTGCTACACAGAAATACTTCCTACTCATTAAAATTTTCCCACATAACGGCGATGGCCTCACCAGTTGGGAGGGGGAGCGAGAAAAAGAGAGAGAGAGAGAAATCAATACCACCTATACCAAAGCCTAAAAACACGAAACAAAAAAAAAATGGAAAATTAACAACGTTGAAGCTACCTTCAGCAAAGCTTTCAATCTGAAAGAGTCAGTATTTACATAATTCTGTGCCGAATCTAGTCTCGATACTATAAAGGAGGGTAAAAAAAATTAACTGTAAAACAAACTGTCAGTTAAAAAAAACAACTAAAAAATAAAACAAGAATGCCTCCGGGATGCAATTGTTCAAAGAGTACAGCAAAAAACAAATAAAATAAAATTAGACTAAACAATTTGTTAACCAGCTCAAACCCAATCCATCCACAAGGCATTTCAGTAATAGCTAATAGTTAGCCTACCATGAACATGTTGACAGCATATCAGTTACGCAGTAGGAGGAGCATTTCGGAGCAACCAATGAGAGCTGTCAGACCTAACCGACACATCTCTCACATTCGCATCTAATTTTCTTCCCAGAGACAAACGTAAAACTATAGCAGTCCGTATTCGATCTCGAACAAACGCTTAATCCATAAAAGAAATAAAGAAACACCGCAAAGCTGTAGTCGCCAATTTAATTTTTCCTTTATTTTATCCGGTAACTAAATATTAAAGAGCACATGCAAACCGAGAACAGAGCTTCCATTGATGTAAATAGAAAGTTTATTAACCTTCTCGCCTTATTCGTGGTACTACAAAACCGACTCCAAAAAAGAAAATAAAAATGCCTCTTCTCTCTCTCTTTTTTTTTGTTTCATGCAAATTAATAGGGCTTCCCATTACACGAAACAGAGAGAAACTGGAGTGCAATAACCTCCGAGAATGCTAGCATCCAGCTTAATCTCTAGAAATCCTCTAGTGGAGGAAAGAAAGGAGGAGGAGGAGGAGGGGGGGAAAAACCAACGGATCGACCCAGATTTTCCAGAAAAATAAGAAAACCGAGAGCGATCGTTTTAAAGTTGAATAACCTTGACATTGATAGCCTTGACACAGTTGCAGATAAAACGAACGAACGGCGGAGAGGGAAAAAACGCGACCTTTAGCGGAAGAGATTGAAAGAGGGAGAAGAATCACGCTATAAATGACAGAAAAGCCACATTGCTAATAATCGAGAAAACAGCCTCAGTAGGAATTTGTTACCATGACAACACCGCCATTTGTTAGCAACACCGTCCTCCGAAATACAAAATTGAATGCATAAACGTTTAAATATTTAACATGTCTCTTCATATTCAAAAATATTAACCATTAAATTTTATGCTAACGTTAGAAATTTCTCTGGAGCTCTATGAGAAAGAAATCTTAACAAAAAAGGGGGAAAGAAAATCAATCGAGCGATAAAAAAGAAAGTGTCTTTCAAATCTGAATTGCAATGCATTTATAAAATTTCGAACTAAGAAACATCCGCCACAGGAAACGGAGGAACATCCAAATCTTGCGAATCGATGGACTTGTGTACATTTACCACTTAATTCATGTAAATATTAGCTTTATATCACCTTAAATAACCAAAGGGAAAAATAGGAAATGATATCAAAATCATAACGGACCGCAGGCTATATGTTGTTCAGTCAAGTTATGATTCTAAATTTTTCTTTTTGGTTGTTTAAGTCTAAAGTGATATAAAGCTAATATTTACAAGTATTACTGTTCAAATTCTCTACAGAATTTAAACTTCTTTCACTACTGGTTAAGAGTGTAGAACGTGCTGATTTTATAGTTATTTTAAACTTTTTTCTTTTATTTTCTTCGTTTGAGCATTTCTTCTCCTTACAGGCGTGAAAAAAACCTGTTTGTATCGGTAAAAAACATATTACTTTTTTCCCGATGCGTTTTAACAACCGGAAAAGCTGTTTAATGAAGTGTGCCTTTACAGTGTACGTCTACAAGCAATAATTGCGGCAATGATACATTATGTGCCTGATTTATCCTTTCCTTTACAGAAAAGTCTTTTCATTCGCAATCTTATTAACACTTCCAGGAAACACAGATACTTCCGACTTTACATTCTCTCTATACACATAAATAGCATTTTTTTAATAATTTTTTCCCTTTGTATGTATTGTCTTATTCGTGGATTCTTCTTCTAGTAACGAAACAGAGAAGGGTATTTTCCTTAAAAACTAAAAACGGTAAGGTAGTTTCGGAGTCGTATGTCAGGTATTGCACCGCCAAACTATTTTTGTAACCAGACAATCCTATTACAAAAGCAGCCTGCAGCTAAAAAGAAAATTCTATGAGGGGGGTTCGTCTAAAAGCCGGCTCCTTCAATAGGGTTCTAGTAATTTTAGAATTCGACAAGACAAATCTGACTTTTCTACTGTTAAAACGGCCTCGTAATTACATCAAATTTAACCGTAATTTATATCCCACGATAGCCAATCTGGAATAGTTCGGTTTTCGATCATCCGTAAACTATTCTCGATATGGCTTTATTGCTCCTAAGTCTCAACAACGGAAAAGCTTGAGAAATGATCGCCGAAGGGAACATAAATAAAGCTGAAACCTTGCTTCGAAAGCTATTTCGGACATATTAAAGATTTACAAACACATTCATTTCTGCCTGATTGAAAACGATTTTCCCAGTCCGGTCCACTTTTTTTTAATTGAGATAACAGACATTTTGATAACTGTCTAGCCAATTTTAGATACTCCGAAACAACAAGAAAGGGAACATTTTTAAATTAATTAGTTAATGGTGCAACTTTCAGTCAATGATTTTTCTTAATTCAGTTTTTTTTTTAATTTCGAATTATTCAGTAATTACTGATAAGAAGGAAACATCGAGATGTTCCAAAACGTATTTAAAATGCATTTCTAAGAATTTCTTGCGTAGAGATTTAAACATATATTTAAGTTCTACATATACGCTTCGTTTTTCCCCATTCAACTTTGAAAAGTATTTATTTTGTCTAGCTAAGTTATACGAAACTGAGAAAAAATTGACTTGTATACAGATATTACTGTACGCATATACAGTCCTCTCTAAAATGTCTATGATTATTATGACAATTTAAAATACTTACTTGATTAATTCGCGCTTAAAAATAAGACTTCATGAAAGTTCGAAAACAAACCAATTCAATTCCTGCAAACTTACGAAAGTAGCAAACTATAATAAATTCAGTAATTAAAATAGTATTATTTAATAGTACGCAAATCACGTGTTTCATATTCAACCTAAATTTCTAGAATTTACCAAAGTAAACCGTGATACTTAATCCTATTTGGCTATTTATTTGAAGGGTTAATAACTAGCGCACGTTATATAAATTTTTTGCTCCATTCCTTATCACAAATAAGATGAAAACAACTTGTTTTCCATGTTTCGACTCTTGTGAAATAAATGATATAATTTATCAATGTATATCTAGTTTATTCGAGACTATTCCCAACAATATACAGCATTCTTTTCGAATTCTCGATCTAAGTTCTGTCCGGTTCTTTTCAGCGAATTTCGTGTCGGATAGAGCTTATCTTTAATCCCGATCTAGGAAATATCTAGGCCGATACAATCTAAAAAAAAAATAATATGTAAGCTTACACTTAACGCTTCATGGCGGAAACAAACTAACAGCTGGTGAGACGGTTAAAAATAAATAAATTTTGGATAGTGTAAAATAATAAATTTCAAGAAATTAAAAATAAAGAGAACCTTAATATTTTGACATATGGATGCGACAACAGTTCTTGCCTAAATCTTTTTTTTTCTCTTTACGGTAGATATTTTATAAAGACGTCGTCGGCACCTTGGCATACTGGTTCGGATTTATGATTCTATTTACGAAGTAGAACGTTCATTTTTTCAATGTACAAATGTTCATCTTGCTAAAGAGAAAAATTACTAATGCCTGAAAATATTTCTTCCACCTCCTCTTTATCCTAAACTGTTTTCTGCCTTATAGATTTCGAATGGCAGATCTTATAAAAAAAAATAATAATCAATTATTGTTCAACTGAAAATTCTGATGTTTCATTCATTGTTAATTCCGCATTGTGTCGATAGTCAACCCTAGTATGGAGTCGATTATTTTATCGTCGTTACCAAAAATGTAGCTTCGATAAACAAATTCCGATCTTTCATTACGCAATAGTTTAGGCTAACGTAATATTAGACCAACAGTCGATTCAACAGATACTGTTTTTCCATCATACAGATACTATATTTGTATTCTTTTAGCATTTTATACGCACCCAAGTTCCCCAAGATCAAACAATACATTAGTTTACGATATTTCGATCGCACCAAGCAGCACACAAAGATTTCATTGCGTAAGAAACCACAAAGTTTCATAATTTTTTTAAAAATATTACCCAATGGATGATTGTTTTGAAAGCTTTTGATGAGCAGAAAATGAAATCTTCAAATTCTACATACGAAAAAAAAATTCATTTTAAATTAATTGAACGAGCATCAAAAGCTGTACAAAAAAAGAAGAAAATTCCAACATAATTATTTCTTTATTTACGAAAACTAGTTTTCAATCACCAAACTGCCTTTTAATCTCACGATATAATACTCTTACAGTTTACGGAACGAAGCTTAAACCGTTGATAAGTAAAGAGATCAAGTAATCGGGTAACCTTCAGTTCGATGCGAAATATCGTCAAAAATTTCGTTAAAAATAATGTGACAGTGGCCTCCGTACCCTAATGCAGGAGAAGAGAGCTGAAGAACGGGAAAAAAACACAGGGGAAGGAAAATCTGGAGCACGCTCTCCAAGTTCAAACATGAAGTTTATCGTGCATAACTTGATTTAGATTCTTCAATCTGTGAAAAATATTTAATAAAAAGGTACTATCTTTGTTTTAATCATGCAACGCTTCATGGCTTGTTTGGTTAAACATTAAAAAGAACTAAAAAAAATCAATGAAAGCAACAGAAACGTTCCGAAAAAAATTACTAAATAGCTAGTTGAACATGAAAGTTTGAAAATGATTTTAGTCTATCTCGAGATAAGAAGAAATTTTAATTTTTCCGTTATTCCATTATCCGTTAAATGATTACATACATAAGTATGGATAAAAGTCTGGTGAAAAATATATTGAAAACACGGCTGAAATTCTTGCGGCATAAATTCAAAAAATCAATCCGAAACCAAAGCAATAATTATGAAAAAGTGGTTTCATTTTGATCAAATAAATCTGCAAATATGCGTTAAATTTCGTACGGAGAAGATACAGTTTGCTGAACTCGCGAAAAACGGATAAAAATGTGCTCAGAAGTGGATACAGAACGTCAGCTACAGTCGTCCTATCAAAAACCATCCAGAGATGTATATGGTCTGAACAACACTTCACGCTCTCACTATGGCTGTTGCTAAGTCACACAAAAACGGTTGAAGAAACTTGATCCGAAACACTTCAAGGTCATTGACTGAAGCGTTCTCGTTCCGTTATTACTGCGATAAATACTATAAAATTCAGTCGTAACCCGTTTTCAGAAAGTAAATACTCCTCGAAGCTTCTAAACTATCGCCATAAAGATGTACTCCCGATTTATACGGAGAGAAAAAATTAGGTTACGAGCTTAAAAAACCGTTGCGACATACTACAGTGTGATTGGATAATTAACAACAGAAAAATCAATCACACGAGAGGGGTTAGTTTCGCTCCGACGTTGTGTACGGAGATACGCTTCGTCAACAATCCAAAGCGGGAGAAGACTACAAACTTCCTTATAATCTTCCAGTTGTTAAACAATCGACTGCTATTATAAAGCAAATGATTTTTGAACAGCACACCACTATTGCGTATTAACAGCGAGAGAACATCAGTCCGTCGCCTTTTATTAGAAACGAACGATTGGAGAGTCCCTCTTCTCTTACAAGCGAGAAAAAAAATTAGGAACACAAATAACATGAAACTTTTTCTGAATTAAGTATAACCCGGGGAGAGAGAGAGAGAGAGAGAGAGAGCAATTTTTCGGAAGGTCCATATTCTTCCTGAAATGAAAATCATAAAATAAATATTTGTATAGCTCAGTCTTCTTCAGAAAAGAACGGGCCAAGACGAGAAGAATTGAAAATTCAGACATTCAAAATCGATCCCGTCTACGAATTGCTTATCGACGTGTTTATTTATCAATACATTTATTCAAATTAATTACCTCCAACGTCTCATTTATTAAATCGGCATTAAAACGTCTTCTGGCCATTCGAACATTTTCGGGAAGTACGTGGTCCAATCGGTTCTTATACAAAAGAAATATATATATTATTGTTATTTTTAGCTACGAGTATTACACACTTTTCAAATTTCCTCCACGTTTTCCTTTGCGAATAAATGGACATTCAATAACTTTGTGTTCTGGAAATTCTTTCCTTTCAACGATCTATATTCTTTCCATTCTAGTCCTACAACTTTTCATCTGCAGAATATTTTCCATCCATTAGTTATCTCGAATATTTAAATTTCTGAACTGTACGTACAAACTTTTGCAACTATTCGAATTATTACATTTCAGAGAACAGTTTTCCCATAATGAAAAAATTCGGTTCATATTTATGGCAATTTTCATAGACATTAAAAAATAAAATGTTAATTAAACATAAGAAGTTTACTTAAATATATAATATTTTACAAATTAAATCAAACAAAAAACGATATTGACTAACTCAATAAAATTCTGAAATGTTAAATTATTTCAATTCGAAATTTGAACTACAGACCATTATGCATTAATTATGTATGAAACTACAAAAAATACAATAATATATTCAATAATCACGCTGTATTTTTTACTTCATCTCTATTAGTGTACATCAAAATATGGATACACAAGAATAAAGCATTACTATGAATTAAAATTTACATGTTATGAATAAATTATTTGTCTATGTTGAATCAATTATTCAATTTTCCATTAGAATTACTATCGACGGCATTACAAGAACCTTCCACGATTTAGCTTTTATCTACTAACTAATGTTTGGGATATTACAATATTTTTCGCGTAAACGACATCTAAACATTCTCTCGCTTGGAGTTTTAGAAACTGCGTATCGAGTTTTAAACATATATTTAGATATGAACTTTCCGATATAAATTTTTAGTAGATACTTCCGTTTCCGTTTATGGATTATTCTGAAAAATAATAAATGTCATCGAATAAAAATAACGGATTTCTGACATCAAAGCACTTTTCCATCTTAAGTCTTCATCTTTTTTTTCGTTTTCCTTTCCATTTATAATGGGCATTTTAAAGGATTCGGACAGATACAAGAAGAACAGACAAACTCGAAACTTCTACATGATGTCAGTGGGTCAATGTTGAAGATGTAAAAAATATCTCAAAATAAAATGCCTTTTCACTGGAAATTTCGAATTCAATTCTCTCGTGAAAACACTATTTTTCATATATAAGTATCTTTTCTATTTTTTTTAACTTCGTAATTTTATCACTCATTTACTGACGCTGGTGAAAAGTACATTTCGAAATTCACGCAATTTTCATCCTAATTTTAAAAAGTTCTAGAAAATATTAGCACAGCTTTATACTGTATAAATGAATAAATGATTTTTAAATAATATGAAAAGATATTAAGGTATCGCTGACAAAGTAATAATTTAGACTATCGCTATTTCCTATCAGTGAGATCATTCTTTAAGGATATGGCTACGTTTATTCAACATTGCAAAAAGTAGGCGATCTATATCCTTTTTTTATATAGCATTAACAATACGTAAAACGTATCCATATCCTTTTTACAACATTAACAATAGAAAGTGGCGATAATCTTCTATATTTAAGTTATTTTCTAATACTAACGTGTGGAAGTATCCAACCATTTTCTTAAGAAGGAAAATGGTAAAAATTATTCTTAAGAATTCGCTGTATGAAACGAAGCGAGTTTTGCCCTTGTTTTTTAATGCATTAAACACCGTAAAAAGGATATGTATATGATTTTATATTGAATAAAAAATACATCCACATCCTTGTACAATATTCAAGAAAAAAAGGCAGAAATCCGAATTAGAAGTGCAGCATAGATTTGAGGTTTTTTAAAAAAATTAAACAGTATATATTAATTACGAAAAAACAAGTTATAGACATTTTCAACTAGATGAACAGTAGACTAAGTACAATTGATACGGCTTTAACATCATTCCATAGAAGGAAGGGGCAGATGTAAAAACTACCGCAATTTATTTTTATGACTAACAGATGCTCTCATGTGAAGATATCATTTACTACATGATGTGGAGATATTTAAATGGAAGATACCACTTTTATAATATGTAAAGATAAATGTTTGTGACACAGTTTTAACCTACATAAACATTATGTAATTAATTTTGAATGGTCTGCACATGAACGAAGTATGTAGGTCTAAAAAATTTATAGTGATAGATCCCTTTCAAGCGATTGCGAGATGTTTACAGACAAAAGTATCTTTTATAATTTCCACGCTGTAAATACTGTAGAAGAGCAATTAATTTTGTAATGCTAATTAATTATTGCTTCGATTTGCCGATTCGAGTCTAATGCTATTTCTCATCTCAGATTTCAACTTAAAAAGTTCAACAATGCTCGTAAATACACAAGAAAATAAATAAAGTAAATAAATAAACGGAGAAACTAATTTTTATACAATAAAAACATAAAAGAGCATGCTCAATTATCCATTTGATAGATTTTTAAACTTGTAAAAATATTCTCTTGGATTAATTCAAATTTCTAATGGACACAGCGACAAACTATAAAATTCGCTACGTTTCACGGATTCTCGATCAATTTCTTACAAAACATTAAATGCTTTTAAGTGTTTCTACGTAAAATGAAAGCAAGGAATATGTAAAAAAAAAGGGGAGAACCAGCAACTGAACATTACCAGATTATCATTTCCGACCTGTTTAGCACTGATCTCGCGAAAAAATTATTGACAATGCGTTTGCGGTCACATTCAGAAAAAACAAACCAATTAACGCTTTATGAATATATTTTTCGAATAAACAAGTCAATGATGAAGTAGTTTTCTAAGGGAAGTTATAGCGATGATAAGGTATACTTATGTTTTATGCGAATCTTATAACCCAATTTAATACTCGAATAGGTTACTTTTAATCTCTTAATTATCACCTTTTAAGCAAATTTATCGGGAAAATGGAGCTAGAAATTAATGAAACATTTAAACGAACCAGTCATTTTCATAGTTAAACGCCTGTAAAAAAACAAGCGATATCATCTTATAACAGTATCAAATTTATATTAAAAAAACCTGCATAAAAGTATCCTCCTATCCTCCCTCTTAAACAATAGCTATGCTACTGTACAAAACGACTATTACCTTGATCTCAATTATGATTTTAAGATTGTTATCAACCATTTAAAAATACAAAAAAGCTATTAACAAATGTTTCCAAACTAACAATTATAGGATTATTCGGTAATAAAGTTCCGGTTTGCCTGAAAGCACTCCTGCAGAAACAGGATAGGTTTGTTTTTACAGCTATTCAATCCCGTTACACGCTGGATCAACGCTGTATGGTACAGTACAGTACAATGAGATTCTAAATACCTGCGCCGATAATTCACTTACGCTATTTGATTTGGGTTTTAAAAAATATCAATAAGGATATCCGTATAATGTAATTCCGTTTTGTTATAATGAATTTTTTTTTATTAATAGAGAAAAGAGTCGAATTGCCAAAGGTAAGTTTCCATCAGCAAAAATGAGATAAAAATTGATCCTTACGGTAAAATTTCGGAAGCTGCAACTTGCTGGGCGTTTTAATTCGCTACTTTCTAAAAATAATCGAATCGAATAATTCCAGAAATTAACAGAAATTGAAACAACACGAATTCATCTATATGCAAAACAATGTGCTCTTCCAACGATTAAAACATGCTTAGTTAAACAAATTTGTATTATTCACAGAGGATATTAAACAGCTCAAAACAGCCCCGTAAACAAATTTACGGAACCGCTCTCTCTTTCAAAAAATTATTCCGACGTTAACGCGAAACGATTTTCGCCTTTACAAATATTATTTAATTCGCGTCATTTTAAAATTTACTTCAAGCATTTCAACAAACATCTATAAGTTATAATGAGTTACTTCACATTAAATAAGTTACTCGTTACGCGGCCCGGTTTCGTAAGCCAAGCACAGCTTTATAAAATCTAACTTCATTAAATAAAGCATAATCTTACAAAGTCAACGTTACATTAATTAAAACAAAACACATCAACAAAAGTTGATTTTGCATTAAACAATGCGGAGCGTCTACAAATAAGCCCGACTGAGTATTCAGCTAGGCATTTCTATGAAGTTAACTTCACATTAAGCAAGGTACAGACAGCTTCTATAAAATTAACTCCAACTTTTTAAGTGTGCGCTTAATATGATCTTATATTAAGCGAACCACACCATCAAAATTACCTTCCGTCTGAAGGAAGCTAACAAATCCCTATCAAGATAGATATATAAAAGTTAAAATGCTTGACCGATTGTCCCCCACAAAAAACAAAAATTCATAAATTTTCATTTTGTCGACGTTCTCATTAAACAAATTTTAAGAGGTCAATAGCTGAGAAGAGATTTGGTGAAGGTGACCTTCGCCAATTTTTCTAGGGATCAACCTAGTTTGCTAAACAACCAACAGATGGCACAACAGATTCGAATTATTAAATAACCAATATACGAAAATGAGCAGAAACAACCAGCAACAATGGTCACATTCAAACGGATTAATTAATAATTACCGAATGATAACGATTAACCGCGATATAAGGACCGAACTTTTTCTTCCCGAACAATGCGATCGGTAATAATCCGAAGCAAAATAAGAAACGTAGCATCTCGTATAAATTTAATTAACGAAAGTAGAAATTCGCTAAATTCGATATCGGCAATGACTAAGGCCACCGAAATCGCCATAGAGCTTTGGTGCGGTTTACAGAATAAACGAATTAACTGCGCTGCCTCCATTCGTATTTAGTAAATTACATTTTTACCACTTACAGTTTCGATGCTGGTGCTTGATTGCGTAATATGCTGTCCAACCTACAGTCGTTCCGCAATTTATAACGAAGACTTCGCTTTATAAATTGATTTGCCTCTCTTTATTAATTAATACTCTCAAGATGTTCGTCATTTGGATGAATTAAAGTTGGCCCTACCGTAACGGCTCGGTCTGATATATAATAACTCGACGCATTTTTTATGGTATCGTAAACTAGGCAAAGCAATCTGTGACGTAAAATGAGTATCTCTCTATTGCAATTCCTTCAGAGAATCACTTTGAACTCGAGATAGTAAACGGGTCACCATCTGGAACAAATCGACTTAATATAAAAGGTAAATTTGATTCCTCTGGAGATTTATTTTGGATAGAGTTTGGCGCTAAATCGAGTTACTCCATATTGACACTAAGAAAAGAATCGGTTGCTACATTATCTTAATTGAAATAGAGTTAGAAATTCGAATTCATCCTGTATATAAGAGCGAACGATACAAGGAACGTTTTAATAATACGATTACTTGGTGAAAATCATCGATTTTTATCATACTCCAGTGATCGTTCATTAAAGTACGTTCTTAAATCCGTCAGTGAACGGAGTGAAGATTAAGAGATGAAAGAGGAATATTAACCGTGTTCACTAATGTGTTAGGGAAGCAAATGTGTACCGTGCATGTTCTGCTATACGAACGAAATGCCTATCGTCCCTCCGTATTACAATGCAGTAATGGTATCGATCTGTGGAGAAACAGAAAAATCAATGTGATCAAGGTACTAGAATCTAGGTGCCATGTTTGAACAAAGTTTCGTGACAGAGGTCACAACTTCAGGCTAGTATTGACGAATGTTAATCTCTACTCTTCTATTTTGGGATTTTTAACCGTCGTGAAATAATTCGACCGCACGAAGGTCATCTACCACTCAATTTGAACCTCGTTACGTCTAAGTGAAACACTGGTGATCTCGGTTAATTTTTAATGTTCTTACAATGGCAAACAACCGGACAAATAAATCGTTCAAAAATTGACAAATCTATCTTTTAAAAAAATCCGTGCGACTACACAATTTCAAATTGCCCGCTTCCAAAAGGAGAGGTAAAAAGTAACCAATAAACTTAACATTTCAATTGGAAATAAAAATAACAAATGTTTCTTTTTTCTTTCAGGATCCATTAATTTATAAACTATCGTGTAGTTTCGTTCATTGGCCATTAACCGTGAAGTTAAACAACAAAAGGGCGATAAAATTCCTTTAAAGCGTTCTGAATATCCAAAATCATAATGCTACATCTGATTCGATTAAACAAAAGCTGGCAAAATTACTAGATGGCTGCATGTTAACAGTTACAATGGAGTAATAATAACGCTAAACACTAAACGAAATTAATTTCTTAAAAGAGAAAACAATCATTTTGAACTAAAAATTCTTCCAGGAAGACAACTTTGGCCTCCAGCCAATTAATTCCGATGTCCTGCGATTTTTTTTTTTTTGTGTACAGAATATAAAACACCATCGATTTTAATCGGACATAACCCCAAGCGCGTACAGAATGGTATGTGAAGCCTATTTTATCTCTCATCGATTTTGTTAATTCGCCTTTACATGCTGCAATCTATAAATATACCTTAAACAAAAATACAAACTAGTAAAGTGAAGCGATTAGAAGACTGCAACGATTAAAAATAAACTTTTCCTTATAACGCGAAACAATCAAATTAAAGAGTTCAAAGTCCGGTAAATTCTACATGTAATATGTCATATTTAAAGGTAAAAAATAGTAGTAAAAATCGATACGCTTACAACATTATCTGTCACTCTTTGTATCAAAGATCAACAGCGTAGTTCCGATTGTAAAACTGATAGCTCTCATCTTATTTAAACTAACGGAAGATACGAAACAAAATCCTTTCATTATCTATTATTCACAAAGCAATCTATACTGTATATTCTTTCGATGTACAGATATTGGAAAATTTCCGAACTAAAACGAATTCGTTGCCTTAAACGGACAAATAATTTGTTCAAAATGTGCATTTAAAAATTATAAAATCATAATGGATATGGACATTTATAAATATTTTGCTACTATCAAAACACATTTTCTTTTATAATTAAATAAAACAAGAAAACAAATTTTGATTATTTATATATATATATATTTTATCTGCTTTCAAAATTTCAAAGTCTATTTTAATTAATGTTTATTTAATCATATCAAATATTGTTGGATGATGATGAGGATGACAGCATTTTAATTATTATTGAAAAAAAGTCTGATTCACAAACTAATAATATAAATTCTTTTCTGATGATATAAATAAAATAATTCAATCTAATATTGATTAGTCATATTATAAATATGGCAAAACTTTTAAAAATAAATGAAGATTATGTAATTATACTGCATATTAAATTATAATTATCTACAAAAACTATTTTAAAAAATCACAAATATGCTGTTCATAATTTCAATTTTAACCATAAAATATAATTATTGCATTTAAAGTATCAGTATTGTAGTGGCTATAATCTATAATATAATATTCCTTGTTTTGAATAATATAAGCAGTATATATATGCACATTTAATACAGTAAACTCAAAACCCGTTATGCTTTGACCAATGAAAAAGAAACTTCAAAATGATTATGAGATTCAGAATTCATAATGTTTCATCTTAAACATTAACCAATTTTTTAAAATTCTGCACACAATTCATTTTAATTCAATCTCTTAAGTGATCTAAAACAATATGATAATTATTTCATAAGCTAAAATTATTTAATCAATTTTTATATAAAAGAAAAACTAAAAAGTAGGATTTAAAAAAACTATAATATATAACAAAGTAAAGCAGTTAAAGAGTAGAAGAGCACAAATAAAATTTGAAGTGACTGTCAGTTTATATGGTTATTTTCAAAAAGAATCACTTCACAAGTTATAATGGTGATGTACTTTATAAATAATTACAAAGTCTACTCCAATATTTATTCAAATTTCTACTGTACTTAAAATTTATATTCATGAAAAATGAATTATTCAAGTTGTATATTAATACATATTATTTAGGTAAGTATTAATTTTTGTTATATAAATATATAATACAATGTAAATACATAATAATATGTACTGTTATATAACTGTTCACATGTTGCTGTTAACATTTTCAATGTTTGCAAGAAAACTTAAAATAACAATATGAACATTTATATATAGTATAATCTATATATTGTTTACATATTAATTTAGTAAGCCTCAGATACTGACCAGCTTTGTTTGAGAGAATGGCTGAAGGTACAAACATGGTTTGGGTATCAAATTAAAGCTCTTACCCTTTAGATGATGCCGCTGAAGAGAGATTTCAGAAAGATGCAATGGTTCAGGCATGGCAGTGTGGCAAACATACAGTGTTAAGTCTATGGAGACAAACATGTCCAGTGCTCATGCTTCTTCTAGCATTAAATTTTTTAACTGTTAGAACAACCCATTGCCCTATCCCCTACTCTGAATTCCTCCTTTTTTTGCTAATTATATGTTAATTAAAAAATAATAATAAAAAATTCTTTTAACATTAATAAGTTTAAACACTTAGTTATTTATTTAAATAATAAAATAAAACTGAGAATCATCTTTTTTTAACTAAATTGTTTTAATTTTTTAGAATCTGTAATAAAAAGTATGTAATAATAAAATAAATGCATGAACTCATTAACTGTATTTTAATTGAATAAAACAGCCAATATTGACTGGTCCCTACTAGTAAAAATAAATTTAAAAATAATTTCAATTATTTTTAAATTTTCACCAGTGATAATTTAATATAATAATCTAATGTCTATCATTAAAAATATATTGCACTGTGCATGTGTGATTACAGTATATTCACTACTTACATACTATTTATGTATCAAACAAAAAATGAATGCATGTAATTCAAAATAATTACAATATATTCCAATAATTTAATTTAGTTGTCTATAACTTAATATTATGCTAACAAGTAGAGATTCACATTTTATAATACAGTATAGTCTCGAAAACTCGGTCTAATGTGGGCCTAAGGGTGGCCGAGTTTGTGAAAATGCCGGGTTATCGGGAATGGGGTTAAAAAAATAAGTATGAGTGTTTCCTCAGAAAATACTGTACTGTACTTGTATGTATTGTTTACTTGAGAATACAACAGAGAATAAACTGCCCAAATACCCTTAAACAAAGGAAAAGTATATCCTTTATGAAGGTATAGAGCCTTTACTACATGAAAATGAAAATTAATGAATACACTGTGTACAGTAATTTATCTGATAAGACAGACCTCAGAAAAATACTTTATGAGGCATAAAGCTGTCTATAATGAAAATTAAGTAACTAAGGATTTTTTTCCCCTGCCAGGGTGTGGCTGAGTTATCGGGACTGCCAGGTTATCGAGTGCCGAGTTTTCGAGACTCTACTGTACATGTAATTTAACAGAAAGCTGAATATACTTATTAAAAATTATCTGTATATCATTAACTGTGATCTAAAAGTTACCTTATTTTCAAACAACTATAATACTATATTGAAATAAATTCAAATTCTAGAACAGAATTTTGTTTTATTTATGTATCGTATTTGTTTATATCAATCAATGTAGTGTACAGTGCTTATATATCTACTTCCTCAATATTTTATCATAGTATATTTTTATATATATATATATATCTTATTTGTCAAAATATAATGCAATTTCAAATAAAATGCACTTCACAACAAAGTTTTCCTTTGGAACCATTTAAAACTTTATTGTAAATGCACTGAAAGTGATTTTAGTGATTCCAGGGAAAACTCATTTTGTGCTTATAACTATAGTAGCAAACCATAAATTCATCATCTAGAAACTATAAAGAAATTACAAAAGAATTCTGAGTATTATTTATTATAAACATTAAATTATTTTTCAATACAGAACATTCTTGCTAATCTGAATCTGCAATAATCTGAACTTCACTTAATATAAAACAATTTTCTTCATTTATTTTATTATATTCTAGTCATAAACAAAATGAAATTAGGTGATTTTTTTAAAAATTTAAACTTGTAAAATTAATACATACTACACATTTTAACAAATATATATAACAAATATGGTATAATGTACGAATCTGTGTAAGCCCTTTGCTTTATATATAAGCCTGCTAATCTAAATTTTCCTTAATCTAAACCAACTGCTACAATAATTAGTTTGGAATAAAAATGCACTACACTCCATCTTTCCAAATACCACAATCTTACACACCTAAATATAACATCTCAATTTCCTGAACAGTTTAAATTTACATATACACATTGATCATTAAACATTTTATCAATTAACTATTACAGTTTGTTAAAAATGAAATTATCACCTGGTTAATTTAATTTTTCAATATCAAATACTAAAAAAACTGACAATAATGCAATTTATTCAAATTATAGAGTAAAATTCACATTTTATTACTAAAAGTTTTCCAATTACTATCAGTGAATTTATTAATTTTAAAAATAGAAAAAAACAATTTGCATTAGCTTCAAGAAATTTATAATTAAAGCACATTTTCAAATTTGAGTTGATGAAACTTTAAAAATGTTATTTTACAATAATATTAAAAAAAATCTTTGTTTAAAAAATTAAATATAATAGTAATTAATTTTTGATGTACATGTTTATTGTTTATTTAAAATAATATACTTTTGGCACTATAATTGTTATTCTAACATTTATTAGGAAGATTTCATTTCTAAGCCTTATTAATCAAACAATCCTTTAAAGGAAAAATACATTACCCAATTATTTCTGCATAAATGTAATTATCTTACACAAAAAATAATAATAAAGTATATGATCATTTTCAGACAGCAATAATAATTTATTCAATTGTGAAGATGAAGCAACAAAAGAATACATTTTTACATAAGGATTGTAAATTCAATAGAGAACCCATCTTCATTGGTTATCCATTATCTTCAAACATTTTAATAGGAAAAAGTTTTGCTGAGATATCTATGTTATTAATTTAAACAATGTTTCATATTAATATTTCATAAACAGTTATTTTTATAAATACAGAATAATTAAACAATGACAATCATTAACTTCTACATTTTGTATGTTTGCGTCTGTGTTTGTGTGTGTTTGTGTTTGTGTGTGTGTGTGTGTGTGTGTGCGCATATATACTTTATACAGGAAACAATTTTCCAACTCATAGGTAAAAAATATACAGAAAATTCCAGAAATAAAATTTGTTTCCAATTTTCTATCATTAAAGCAATCAAAATTATTTATTTTACAATTTAATAAAATATGTAACAAATACTTTCTTTACTTGTATTAGAAATACAATAAAAAGAAGAAACAGCTTTTACCTAGAAGTTGAATATTTTTAAGACAAAAATAAATAAATTGGTTTTACATGAATTAAAAGAAAAAATTTAAAATAAAAAATTTTCAATCAGCATAATAAATTAAAGATGCTCTTTCTACTAGATTTTTTTTTATTCATTATTCTGATAACAATCTAAAAAGATGAAAGCTATAGAAGCTGAGTTGGTTTGGCATCTGGCTCCAGGCTAGAGGAGTATGATCAATTCTAAGTTCCCCCTCTCCCAGTGTAGTTGTAAGGCCTGCCAAAATCTCTTCATGGGTACCTGCTTTTTCCAGGGATAGAGGCAGCTGGAACATAGAATTGATCATTTCATCTCCTAATGATATTTGGTTTAACACTACAAGCAGCATAAAGAAATTCAAAGCTCTGAACTTCCCTTAATATTTTACATTAAAAAGATAACTTTTTCATTACACCAAAGGTTTTTTTAACCATTTTAAATCAATTATTATCAATTGGAATTAGCATTATATTTCCTGCCATAAATAAGATATATATTTAAAATAAACAAAACACAGATTAAATAAATGATGATTAAAACAATTAATACAATATTTATCACAATCAATTTAAACTTAAACAATGTTTTACTTTTAAATTAAATAATAAAATTTTTTATCTATTGCATTAGAATTCTTTTTTTGTCAAGATAAATGAAAAGCAATGGAAATACTGTCTATTGACATTATAAATATTTAATAAAA